TATTGACGCACCTACAAGATGTTGGTCTATTATCAAACACAATAAATTTCATAACCTGAGTACAAAGATGTTGTACAAATTGGCCAGCTATATTGAGTGGCACAGAAAAATAAGTGAACTAAATTTGTTGAAGTACAATGATTTATCTAAAGTTGCTACGATTGGTTATTTAACACTAATCAGAAGTGAAAAAATCACCTACAAAAACTCCTTATAAATCCATGACCAAACAACACAATTCTTTAAATCCATAAAACCAAAATAAAATGTCGACTTCTAAAACTATAACCTTCACTCTCTTCATCACAATAACGCTACTCGCGTCCTGCAACGCATCCGCAAAGGCCAAAACGCAACCGCTTTTTCCAGCGATTCTAATCTTCGGCGATTCAACTGTCGACACAGGCAACAATAACTACCCTTCACAAACAATCTTTAGAGCTAAACATGTTCCGTACGGTATTGATCTCCCAAACCACTCACCTAACGGAAGATTCTCAAACGGAAAAATTTTCTCGGACATAATCGCAACCAAACTCAACATCAAACAGTTTGTTCCTCCCTTCTTACAACCAAATCTCACCGACCAAGAAATTGTAACCGGAGTCTGTTTTGCATCAGCAGGTGCCGGTTACGATGACAGTACCAGTCTCACGACACAAGCCATTCGTGTCTCGGAACAACCAAATATGTTCAAGAGTTACATTGCTCGTCTTAAGAGTATCGTAGGTGACAAGAAAGCCATGAAGATCATAAACAATGCTTTGGTGGTTGTTAGTGCAGGGCCTAATGATTTCATCTTGAATTATTACGATGTTCCCTCATGGCGTCGCGTGTATCCTAGTATTTCTGATTACCAAGATTTCGTGCTTAATAGGCTTAACAATTTCGTGCGAGTAAGTCTAAGATATTTCCTCACTACAAGAAATTAGGGTTTTAGAACCGATGTTAAGGGTTAAAAATTTATCAAATGGTATTTTTTTATGAAGTAGTCTTTTTAATCTATAGTATCTTTTTTTTTACGATATTTTGTGCAGGAACTTTACAGTCTAGGTTGCCGGAAAATTCTGGTTGGAGGGTTACCGCCAATGGGATGTTTACCGATTCAAATGACTGCTCAATTCCGCAACGTCCTAAGGTTTTGCTTGGAACAAGAGAACAGAGACTCTGTTTTATACAATCAGAAACTTCAGAAGCTCTTATATCAGATCGAAGTATCTCTTACGGGAAGCAAGATCCTTTACTCTAATGTCTATGACCCTATGATGGAGATGATCCAAAACCCTAGCAAATACGGTAGGTATACATAGAAATACCTTTCTTGTTCCGTAAGTTATACCTATGAGATAATATTGAAAGCTGATTATAACATTCTTGTATGTGGAATTAAAATAGGGTTTAAAGAGACGACGAGAGGATGTTGTGGAACAGGGTTCTTGGAGACGAGCTTCATGTGTAATGCTTATTCTCCCATGTGTCAGAATCGCTCGGAGTTTCTGTTCTTTGACTCGATTCATCCATCAGAAGCTACCTATAATTACATTGGCAATGTTCTGGATACTAAGATTCGTGGGTGGCTTAAGGCTTAAGTTATCACGATTTTCAAAGATTGAACAAAATATCTGTTTCATAATGCGACTATTTGTGGACTATGTTTGTTAATCAACTATATAACTTTGGCTCTTACTGGTGCTTTAAATTTTAGCGAAATAGGCCACAAAGAAAATCAGTTAAAAAATAAAAATCACAAACTTCCATATGAGACAGCTGTAAGTGGCAATAGTAACACAAAGCAGCAAGGAACAAGAATGTTTTAGAACCTAAACGGTTCTTCTAAAGTTATACCTTGCAAGAATACGGGGAAATGTCAAGATATAAATGGTTGTGAGAACATGCTACATTCATGTTGGGTTAAGCCCAGCAAATTGTTCTTTTTTAATAGATTATACCAATGGTTATGGTGTTGGCATGTCGTATGTTAGTTGGTATATATGGACATGTAATACATTTAGTTACCGCAAACAAATCATTTCTTTGTATCTGAGAAGAATTTCCGATTAATAAGGTGTGAATTAGGAAGGATTGGTAGCCGAAATATTAATTAGAATTGGCCTGCCACTGATTACTTTAGCATACGATTTTTGAATGGGCCATCCTTGGACTGACTCGACAACGACACATAGACTTCTCCAACCACCTTTGTTATGGTTAGACACGAATGCAAGGCGCGAGAGCCTAATCGGTTTTGAGATGGCCCTTCTCTGTTGACGTGGCAATTCTTTTGTTCATGGTAATTTATTACAGCTTTGTTGTTTCCTCCATTTGGATCAAGATGGTTTGTTTCCCCTTGTTGGACACCTCCCCATTAGTCCTGGATGTAAATGATTGTACACATTTCATGATTACTACGGTTTCCGTTTTTTCAAACTAAGACAATAATGTCTTGATATGATGATGTGAATTCATATACTAAAGAAGGAGTTGTGTTTATGGAAAACAAACTATAAAATGGACGAGATTGGTGATATCACAAAACCGCACCCCAAATCTTTATAGAAACTTCACAAAACCGCACCCCAAATGGACGAGTTTGACTCCGGGGCGTTTGTGGCTTGGTTACATCGGAGGCTCCATTTTGTAGAAGAAAAGGCGTCGGCTAGCCTGACACCCGACTGTTGAACACAACGAATTCATTTTCTCGGTGCTCTTGCGCATCCTCCAGTTTGTTAGAAGACGACAAATCCGATGTTGCGAGGCTCCTCATGCTGTTTTTTCGGCTCCTCACGATATCTTCTCGCTTCGTGGCTGTCGCGTAGCTGCTTGGTTTGCCTCAAGCGGCGGTTTGGTTTCTTCTCAGGCAAGTGGATTGGTAGGGGTGTGGTCTTGCTTTAGCTCACCTCTCCTTCCTGTTGGCGTGCAGCTGCTCTTCTATGGTAATGGTCTGGTGGTGCTCTGTTCTTCGTCAGGCGCTGGAAAGCTACAGCTCTCTTTCCCTCCGAGGTTACCACTTGTCTTCACCCTCTGTGTCTTTTCTCCCGCCCGGAGTAAGTAGTCGTTGGTTTCCCTGGCTTCTTCGCTTACTCCGGTAAGCTTTGCTTCTGGAGAGTGTTTGTTGCATTAGGCTAGGCTGTCTGTGCTTTGGAATCAACCTCCGGATGTTTCGATCATTAGCTACTCTCTTCACTAGGGGTTTTGTGCTGGTGCCGTAATCTCTATCTTCCGCAAGCCAAAATTTTGACTTCATTCTTCAGCTCACCTCCCAAGCCAAAAGTGTTGATTGTCGCTGATGACTGGTGCTCTCCAAGATATGTTTTCCTTCTGCAGGTAGCTTGTGAGTTTCGTCTATGAGGGAGATTTTGGCTCTACTTGATCATGGATTTGAGGCTGCCCGGCATCGCGGTAGCCAATACCATCTCCATGCACCTTGTTGACATGTCGCACATGTTTTTTTTGACTTAGCACTCAGGTTTATTGCTTCCTTCGCCACTAATGTCTAAGTCTTTGCTTCAACCTCTTCAGATTAGTGTCTTCTCTAGTATAAAACTTTGAAAGATATCATAATACTTTCTGTATATGGTCATGCGAGATGGTGGTGCTAGTATGGCTTTTTATGGATGTGAAGTTGCTAGACTCTGAGCTACTGACTCTAGGAGTAAGCATTGCCTGCCTCAATAAGCTCGATGGTTCTCCAGTCTCTTGTTTGTCTCGGGCTAACGTTGAACAGACTGCATCCTCGCTACATGAAATTAATACATTAATTTCAATAAGTGAAGTTCTTAATTGTTTCTGGTTGATATTGTAGTTACTTACCAACTAGGCTATTTTAGATTTTGAATTGACAATGATTTATATTTAGTGGATGAATCCAAAAATAGATAAGGTTTAACAATTCCCACCAAGTCGGCAGGTCAATCACAGATATGCTGGTGGTCAGTAAATGAAGTTATGAAAATAAGTTGGTAGTTTCATTTTGTTAATGCGGCAAAAAAGTTTGGTGAACATATGACTTGAGCCACACTAAAGACAAAGCGAAATTAATGTTTTCGAAGAACAATTAATACTTTTGCACCCACAAATTATTGGTCTGCTACGTTAAGTATATTTATTCAAGTGCAACCAGATCACATGACGACACGAGTATGTTTGTGTGAACAATTCAGTATTGAGATATAAAAAGTGCAACCAGAAACACAAATTCAATAAATCATCGATTTTCCGTGTTTAGGTGTTACAATATCGCCTTTTCTAACTTTACCAATAAAAAACTCGTATTATTCATAGAAAACATAAAACAATATATATATATATATATATATATATAGTAAATTTAAATTGCTTAAGCCACTGAAACTTAAAAGATAAAGAGACTACATAAAAGTATAAAACACAAGACCATGAAATTGATTATAAAGAACATGACATATAACTTAGTGATATATGTTAGTATCGTCGTCCTGTCACTATATAAATTTAAACTTATGTAGTGTATGTTATATATTGACAAAAATAAAAATAAAAATCAAAAAGAGACTAATGTGTAACGTTAATTATCTTACAACGTATAAGGTGATCAAATCAGATTTAACGAATTTTCGATCTGCGATCCATATTCTTTCTTTTTGGAATTGAAATCATATATTCTTGGCTAGTATAGCCTGTTTCTGTACCACCTGAATTTAGATTCTGGTCCAGCTTTTCTAAGAAAAAAATATCTTGGGTCAAATAACTGAACTATATTTTATAGATCACGTAAAAAAACTTTCGTCTCATTTGCTTTTCTTGGTCTAGAAAAGTAGACAAAATTATGTTGTTTCCATTTCCACTGCATGTATTTGTCTTTACTTTATTGGTCAATTTAAATCCTATAGTGAGTTTCAGTTTCGGGAAAACGAACTTATATATGATGAATGTTCAACAAACGAAAACTCTAGATCCCTTTACCAAAAATATAAAATGGAACTTAGATTCTGTCGTAAATATTATATACGAAATTTTGTTTAAATAATTTTGACAGTAACTTTTGGTATAACTATAAATCCATGACAGTAACTTTACATCAAAATAATTCCATAACCATGTTCTTATAAGAACATTCTTTTAAAATCAAAAGAAAAATAAATTGACAATTAATTAGTATATTAAAACTTAGATCCTCTTATAGTAACAGCATGTGATCTGCTACGAGGATATAAGAAATCAGATCCCTTCTTTTGATTCTTTAAAGATCCTTCTTCTTCATCTTCTTCATCAATCCTCGCCATTGTCATCCCAACACTCGAGCTCTTCGGCAAACCGCCTTTAACCGCTACCGCAACCGCTCCCATCGCGACGCGATTCTCCTGCCGCTGCTGCTGCTGCTGAAGCTGTAGCTGTTGGTGTATGATCATGTCAATTTCATTCTTATGACCCAAACTTCTAGCGGAAGCAGCTCTAAGCAGCTCGCTATAATCATCATCAAAAGTGAAATCGGAAGATCTTCTCCGGGAAGAGGCGGAGGAAGAGAAGGCGGAGGAAGTACTCCGGCTTCTCGGAAAGGGAACGGAGGCGGCGTCCACGGCGGAAGAGTAGTGAGTTCGAGCTGCGCAACCTGTGATGCTTCTCATGTAGAGATCACGAGCCTTGCATAGAACTTTTAGAGGCATGGTGACGATTCTCAAGAACTTGTTCTGTTTTTGTCCTCTCTTTCCCATTTTTTTTTTTGTTTTGATGTAATAATGATGATGGGTTTGGTTTTGGAACATGAATTGGTTTTAAGTAGGTAGAGATGTTGTTTAAGGTCAATTTTGGTAAAGGGGGAAAATAGCGTGTTGAAGAAATAAAGAGTGGGACATGGTTTTTGTTGACTTGGTTGTACGGACTATTGTAGTAAAATTTTGGATACGTCCTCTTTAGTTACGCGGACATTAAATTTCTTCGTTATACTATGAGAAATTGGCAAGTATAACCAACAAAAAAACTTTATTTAAGAAAGTAACCAAAAAAAAAATCCCTTGTGATATAATGTGTGTAATATGTATTAAAGACACAATTACCCCCAAAGCATCTTTATCTCTTCTTTCTTCGTTTCTCCACCTCCTCTCTGTTCTTTCTCAGTTTCTTCCTCTCTCCTGGCCTCCTCCATTTTCTCTCCCTCTCACAAGTGTCATGGGGACTCCCATTTGATTGCTTAAGTGCCTAAACCAGAATCTCTCTGATTCGAATCGACAAGATATTGGTAACTGTAAAAACGTGAATTGGGTTTTGGGAAGTGAGGAACAGACAAGTGAATGACCGATATTGTTTCAATGATCTTTTTAACATTTTAGTTTGAAAACTTTAGTCAAGATATCGCCGTTGTTGGGGTCTATCGTTTGATCTGCAAATGAATTTCTCATTAGTTGATTACAAATAGTATAGATTTTTATGTACATAGTATACTATTTTTCCTTAACTGAAATTTACTATTCGACATCTTGATTCTCCATTATTTGATGTTAACTGGAAGCTTGTGATTCTGGAATTGAGTGTTTCTTCTCATCTCCTTACGCTGCAAATTAGCATTGAAGATAAGTAGATAATGATGAACCTATTGGAGTTGAAGTCGCCGCCACCACCGCGACAAGCACCACCAACGCCACATCGTTGCCGCCATACCAACACAATCACCACCACTGTCATTAACACCACCACCACTACAACTCACTCCTTACGCGTACGTCCACAAACTGAAACGAAATCATTCGATCCAAATGCAACCACGAGTGTGTTACTCTCCTCTCATTACACGCGCGTCTTCATCGCTTACAAAATGAAAAGGAGTTTTTCGACTTTTTATCCTCCACTTGTGTTACTTCCTTCATTTGCCTCATTATAGTGCTATATATTTAATAACTTTATCTAGAATGGTTATTCACCTAATTCACCATTATACTATTATATCTCTCTCTTTTATTTCAAAAAATGTTTCATCTTTTGAAAATAGATATTTTGTATTTTCTTTTGAAAAAACAGAATAACATTTTATAATTTGTCTAAATCTCTTATATATTAATAGAGAAGTACTTTATAAAATAAACCTTATTTTGACGTGTTATTAACTAAACTGCCATGCTGACATGTCGCTCTCAGAGTGAATTTTCACCGATTTAAATTTTTACCCAAATTTTACTAGACTATTTACAGATTTTGCCATTAGTCTTAATACATATATATATCATACAAATAACAAAAAAACGAAATTATAATTAAAAAGCAAATAATTAGGCAACTGATATCATATTTATATTTAACAACAAATCACGGGATCTTTGTTTATTTATATTAATAATCTATTTTCAATAATTAAAAAGGAAAAAAATTGTGTTTATCTTATATTAATAAATTTTTATATTTATATTTTTCTTTATATACATTTATATAAATCTTCTCTAGCCGATGGGTAAAAAATCTTTTTATTTATATATATTTATGCTTATATTTAAATGATAAAAGATATACATTTGTTCAAGAATCTCGAATTCAAAACTACAAAATCTCTAAATCTTTCATAAAATTTTATATCTATTGTACTTAAATAAATAAGATAATCTTTTTTCTATACATGTTACGGATACTTAAAATCCGATTTTTTTGGAGTGGTTCTAACTTTTCGAAGAAAAACATTATAACCACATTTATATATAAACCAAAATATGGCCACATTATAACCTATTTTTTTTTGTCAAACGGTCACATTATAACCATTTCGTAAATAATTCATTCATAATATAAGAATCTTATATTTGGAACACTACAAAATCTTAACTCGGAAACTATCAAATATCATCTTTGCTAAATTTTTGGATTTTTTATACTTAAATAATAATAAAAAATCTCGAAATCTTTAAAACATACGGAAAAACATATTGCCATAAATGGTAATATTTCGTCAATAATTTCTTTATCACGTTGAATCTTTATTCAAGGTTCAAATATTCCACGGGTAAAACGTATTCTTATATAAATAGTCCCAAGTTTGAATAAAACAAAAAAAATTTATTACATGTTACGTTTTACACAAACGGATCTTGGATCCCGGATAATAATTTTAATCATAATAATTTTACTTAAATCACTTCATCCCGCACATAGTGCGGATTGTTATCTAGTTACCTAATTAAATCGAAAGTAGGATCAAACGGTTTGTTGAAATTGATAAAAGATTCATCCGATATGTCTAATGTCGGAGACCGAGTTCTATCATATACAAAGTTTTTTGAGGATAATTGAAGATTAAATTCGACCCAAAAAATACCTTAATTACATATTAAAAAAGAGAAATTATCTATTAAAAAAAGGGTTTTGTGCAAAAAAACCCTCGAAGTAGCCAATTTTTGCAAGAAAACCCTCCATCTCAAATAAATGCAAGTCAATACCACCATCTCAAAAGTCACCCGCAATATAGCCCTCGCGTGTATCGATGACGTGACAGCCGTTAACTCTGTTCCAAAACGTCACGACGAGTGAACTTTTGTGCAAAAAAACCCTCAAAGTAGTCAAGTTTTGCAAGAAAACCCTCAAAGTAGCCAAATTTAGTGCAAAAAACCCTCAAAGTAGCCAAGGTTTGTTTTGAAAAAACGATTGTTGGAGAATTCGATTGTACAGGGAAGCAAAGGAAACAATATGGTAATAATCGATTTTGATATCTTCATAAATTTCTGATCATTGGCATGATCAAAGTAAGACATGGTGGAGCCATTTATAGGAGAAGGAAAAATCTAGGGTTTAACAAAAGAATTCTGTAAAATTTACATAAGTTTTCTGTAAAACCAGAAAATCTTCTGTAAAAGCCCAAATTCGTCGCAAAAGAGACAAAATATTTTGTAAGGCTCAGAGCCTCGAAAAACGTGCAAGCCACGAAATCAACTTCTGTAAGACTCAGAGCTTCGAAAAACGTGCAAGCCACGAAATCAACTTCTGTAAGACTCAGAGCCTCGAAAAACGTGCCCGGCACGGAATCACCTTCTGTAAGGCTCAGAGCCTCGACAAAACATATATTACTTCTCTAAAAATCATAGCTAACTCTTGCGTATATTTCGTATTCTCGTTCACTCGAATTCCATCTCTGTAATCACGGAAGCACGATTATCGTTAATAAGAGAAATATCTCTGTTCGCTCCCAAAAACTCGTAATTATTTATTATTGCAACTTCGGTACGAACAATAGGGTGGATAGATTTACATACAACAATTTTTATTTTTGGGTATTATAGGTAAACCCGAACCCGTACCCGAATTTTAAAATACCCGAAAGGTTTTTTTTGCAAAAATTGGTTTAATGAAGGGTTTTTTTGCAATTTGGCTACTTCGAGGGTTTTTTTGCACAAAACCCACTGACGGAGTTAACGGCTGCCACGTCATCGATACACGCGAGGGCTATATTGCGGGTGACTTTTGAGATGGCGGTATTGACTTGCATTTATTTGAGATGGAGGGTTTTCTTGCAAAAATTGGTTACTTCGAGGGTTTTTTTGCACAAAACCCTTAAAAAAATATGATTAGTGAAACAAGAAATTCCCATAAAAGAAAGTAAGGTACCTTTTGTTTACTAAGCTTTTTTATTGTTAAGCTTAGTTAACAAATTATGTATCAAAAGTGTAAAATATCCATCTTTGTGATAGATGTATGTAACTTGTGTTATGTGTTACTCCAACTACAAGAAAAACAAAATTTAATTATGATTGGGACATTTAAATTTAATTTGGTATATTTAAATAAATTTGATACGAACCTGACTTTAGCAAGAAAACAATCCCAAATTAAATCTGTAGTCAACGTAAATTCCAAAATGTCCAATTCGACAATTTGGATACATTGATAAAAACATTAGTATAGAAATAAAAGACGTTGAATTGGTTGCCGTGGCAAGTGCGTATATTTGTATTTTAACGCGGAAATGAAACATTCAACACTCTTCTTTGTTTTTTGTTAGAATAGAACTATTCAACACTCTTTTTAACAAAAAAAAAAAAAAAAAAAAATTACTATTGGACATTCTTCATTGTCTATCTTTTCTTTTAAAAACTCTTTAGTCGTGTTCTTTTCTTAGTCGCTGAACTAGCGACAGCGACACAAAAAAATAAAAGGCCCAAATGCTTTACTTAATAGGCCCATGTAGAGAAAACCAACGACAACTTTAGTTTTATAAAAAACAAAAACGATCGGAGATGGAGTCGCTGGAAAAACCAGCGTTCACCGGCGACACCAAATTTTCCAAAATTAATGCTGTAGCCTTTTTTAATTTGTCGCTGGGTTAGTTTTAGCGACACTTAATTACATAAATTCAGTGTTTTTTTCCGGTCGCTAACTCTGGTCGCTGCGATCGAGAAAAGAACAGGGCTTTTATCGCCTATCTCTGTGTTCGGCATGATTGAGTCCATATTGATTCCAAAAGCTTGCATGTGCCTTCATTTATAGTTGCCCAATTATTTTTTTTCAAAAGTTCAAGATCACTTAAATATTGTCTTTTTTTTTTTTTTTTTTTTTTTGTCAACGAATGATTGACTAATCAGTAAAGGTTTTACACTAAAATCTTGAATGATCTATATAACTAAGGGACTAAATCACTCGAATTATTCATCAATAGTTTTGTAAAAATTAGTGAACAGAGCCATGGCCCATGTCTAGCATTCAATAAGGACTTCCAAGAACAGAGCCATGGCCCATGTCTAGCCATCAATATTTGTTTTCGTCCCAAAAAAGCATTCAATAAGGACTTCAAGCATTCAATGTGTTGAGGCACTGGTTAAGGACATTAAACCGAAAGACTAATTGAACCAGAGCTGGTTTAGTAGTAGTTAACTACATAGTTAAGCGGTGTAAGTCTTTGTTCAATACAACAAGAAATATAATTAAGGCTTATATGTTAGCGTTCGAAGAATCTGTAATCTTGAGATAGTCTACTGCTTTCAAAGGCAGGCAAAAATGTTCATAAGTTGACTGATACTAGTACCTTGTGAGTTGTGATGGTGTAGAATGATTCTCATTTTTTCTGTTCAGTTCATCTGTTCCCAGTGTGCGCACTAGAGCAAAGTTGGATAGTGGGAAGTTACCTTCTAGCATCGGAAAGCTCATCCACTTAAGATATTTGAGTTTAAGTGGAGCTCAGGTATCTCATCTTCCTTCTTCTCTACAAAATCTGAAAATGTTGATCTATCTAAATATAAATGTAACTGGGGGATCTATTTCCGTGCCCAATGTCTTGATGGAGATGCAAGAATTGAGATACCTTGCATTACCAAGTAATATGCTTAAGAGCACAAAGTTGGAATTGAGTAATCTAGTGAACTTGGAGACCTTAGTTAATTTCTCAACAAAGATTGGCAGTTTAGAGCTAGGATCTCCATTGTATGACAAGGTTGAGGATTCCTACTGTCGCTTAAATTGAGGCAGCCAATATAGAAACTCTATCTACATCAATAGTTTGCTCCAGCGGTGGGTTTCCTCAATTGCACAAGCTTTCAATTGAACTAGAAGAAGGCTCCATGCCCCTTCTCCAGAGTCTCAGTATTAGTTATTGTTATGAGTTGAAAGAGCTTCCTGATGGGCTGCGTTTAATCACTTCCATAAATAACATGAATATGAATATGGGAAGGGAATGGGAGGAGAGATTGTCAGAAGGAGGAGAAGAGTACTACAAAGTCCAACACATCCTTTCCGTTGTATTTGGCAGGTTGTTATAGATATATAATGAGACACTCGGCAAAAATTACAACTATGTGGCAGGTAAAATATTCTTTCCTAAAGCCTAAATCTCAAGTACACAAAATCATCAAGGATGTGGAATATATGTTCTCCGTTTGTTTTCAATATGGAGTCTCAAAACGAATTAAGTAGGTTCTGCTAACATTGATTGGCATTTTTATTGATATCTTTCTTCATTCTTATGTTTTTAGCCGAATCTATCTCTTCCCAAGCGAATCTCTTATCAAATGGACCATGAGCGTATCCACATAACAATAATAAAGAATGAGGCTTTCAGCGATTACAGACTACCTAGTAAAGTATTACTATCTCCAAAGAAAGATATATTATCAGGTTTGTAATTTGTGTATATATACATGAAAAGAAACACACAAAATAATCTGTGCATGGTTTGTATCAACACTTGATAATGTTTGCTGGCTTGACCAAGGATGATCAATTGATATCAATGGTATCAGAGTGCTAGATAGCTCATTGTTAAAAACTAACGGTCATCTATTACACAAACTGTTAGTGTTACTAGAAAGAGATAAAGAACTCGTTCTTATTTATTGCAATGTGGGTGAGCTGTTGATTGGAGGCTGCATTTTTATCTATATATCCAAGTGGCCAACATGGTTTTCTTATATTTAGAGTCAACGCATTCACGTAACACAAACCGAGTTATGAAGATGTTTCTAATTTGAGGTTAACTTTTTTTTTTTAATAACTAACCAAAGTTATAACGTGCACAGATTTATTTTACTTTCGTCTTATTTCATTTTGTCAATTGGTTAGCAGTTCGCACGATCTCATTTTATTTTGCAAATTGCTATTGACAGATAATAATTTGAGGCTTGATAACTAAAGAGCAATCATCGATCTTCTTCCTAAAGGCACGACGGGAGAGTTCCTCTGTTCCTTCAAGAGGTTAGTCGTTTTCCTTTAATGTTATCTAAGTCCTTTGTTCATAGCAAATTTATTTGTTCACGGTGAACATTATCTGTATTGTTTAATTCTCGAATTTTCACAATAAAACTGTGTCCATCTTTTGGATCGGTGCTACTTTCTGTCTCTCTTGCATACGGGTATGGCGAGAGAGACATATTCTATGTAAAGGTTTGTTGAAATCAAACCTTGATTAATGCTTAAACTTGGAAGAGAGAAAGAGTCACGAGCTTTACAAGAGAAGAAGAAGGAAATTATAAGAGTGTTAGTCTTAGATTGGAGAAGAAGACGCGACAAGCTGAGGGAGAAGACGTTTTGTTGAAATTATAAGGTTTTAAGGTCATTGGGCCACTATGATAATCAAGCCCATTAAGTGTTGGGTTTAGTATTGTTACTAACTATCTATGTTGCATGGAAACTCCGTTCGAGCTCCGTTTCCTATTTCGGAAACTGAAACTCTTGGAAACGTAACGGAAATACTTTTCCTAAAAAACTCAATTTGGAAACGGAATGAAAACTTACGTTTCTATTTTTGGAAACATACGATTCTACTTTGGACACATGTCGGAAACTTATTTTTCTTATGAAACATAAAAATTAAATAATTTAAAAATATGAGGATATATATTTTGCAAAAAAAAAAAAAGATTACTTCTAAACGAACAAAAGATTTGGTATTTATGTACACTAATCTTCTTCTTCTATCTAGACCATGAATGAGGATGATGGTCTTAATCTTTGATTTTTGAGTATTGTTATCCTTATTTTAATTAGACTATTTGCTACTCCTTCTATTTCAGATTGATGTTATTTAAAACAATTTTAATATTATTTTCATGCTTGGTTTTTAATATTATTTAGACTATTTATTTATTTATTTATATATTATACTTGTTTCCAAAATGTTTCCATTTCGTAATTTTTAGAAAAATCCGTTTCCACGTTTTCGCTTGTTTTCCTTTCCATGCAACCTAGCAAACTATAGGTTAAACGTTAACCTAAGTACAGATATGTTGTAAGGTGTATAATGATAAATTCAAGAGAGATCTTAAGAAAAAGGGTTAGAGGCTGCAGTAACGAAGCTTCCATGCATCATGATATCAGAGCTCGGTTAATCCTGATGAACAAATTCCTGCAAAAAGATTCATGGAGCTAATATCAAGGCCAATGAATAGCGTGAGAAGACTCTGTAAAGTTTGTAAGAAGAGAAACCACAATGAAGGTGAGTATTACCTTCTACAAAATTATGCATCTCAGTTCTTTAGTAAGAAATTTAAACCAAAGAGAGGTTGTTTTGCTGGTGGAGAACCTGGACACATCATGAGAGTGTGAGAAAAGTCAAACACAACAAAAATTAGAAGAGGAGACTAGTCTATTTAGTGCAGCACAAGCAGTGCCGGCTCAGAATATGGGCCGGGCGGTGCGACGGCCAGGGGTCCAATCCCGTGTTCTAATAATTAAGGGGCCTATTTTTTTAAATTTTTTTACAAAAGTATTAAAAAATAGATTACAACATAAAAATAAAAAATTTATAAAGACCCAAAAAAAATTTTATTTACTGTTTTTAAGTTTTAATATTTAAATTTTTATTAAAAATATCACTGTTGGAACATGCCAACAGTGATGAAATCTGACATGACCAAGAAAGAAAGACTGTTTACTACAATAAATAAATTTGTTCTAGTTCCTATTAAGATTGGAAATGGGGCGAGAATTATGACTGTAGGGAAGAGAGACATTGAAGTGATGACCCAGAAGGCCAGAAGGGATTAAGAGTTATCAAGGATGTTTTTCTTCTCCCAGATAAAGATAAAAAGGTGTCGATGCTATGGTGCTAAGGTTTTGCTGAAAGGAGGCCCAATGTTCGTGGTCCTTGGGTCGAAAAGGAGATTGTTGGGTACAAACCAACGTCTCACATCAGAAGTTTAGAAAAGCCAATTCCAACTCTAATTAGTATGAGACCTTTTGGGAAGAAACCCCAAAACAAATCCGTGCGGGCTTGACCACTTGAACCCAAAACGGACAATATCATACTAATGTGGGAGTTAAAATGGGCTTAGAGAGCCCAATAGGATGGCCCAACTTTTCTGAGCTATGGCATTAAAGAGTCGGAAATTCTGGTTTTCACAATTTACACAACCTGCAAGCAAATCAAATGGCCAAAGGACTACCAAACTTCAAGGTGATTCAGGAGGTTTGTGAAGCGTGTGTTAAAGAAAAACAATGCAGAGAAGAATTCCCTAAGATCTCAGAAACAAAAAGTGAAGAAGTGTTAGACTTGATTCACACAGACATATGTGGATTGTGGACTAATGCAAACCCCATCTTGTGATGGAAGTGTGTATATACTTACTTTTATAAATGATTTCTCAAATGTGTTGTGGGTGTATTTTCTAAGGTTCAAATGAGATACTTTAGCAACCTTTAAGAAGTTTAAGAGCCTGGTGGAAATTCAAACTAGCAAAAGAATGAAAAAGCTTAGGTCAGATAGAGGAGGTGAATTCAAGTCAGAGCAATTTACAAGATTCTTAGAAGAACATGGAATAGAGAGGCAGTTCACTGTGGCTTACTCACCATGACTTAATGGAGTTGTTGAACGAAAAAACATGACCCTACTAGACATGGCAAGAAGCATGTTAAAAGAAAAAGAAATGTCAGATGTTTTTTGGGCCGAAGCTATACTTACAACAACTTACCTTCAGGATAGACTACCCATCAAAGCTTTAAACCAGAAAACACAACTTGAGGTCTGGAGTGGTCACAAACCCTTTGTTGGTCACCTTAAGGTTTTTGGTTGTGAATTTATCATGTGTGGATACCTGTAGCTATAAGAAGAAAACTTGATGATCATGTCAGAGAAAGCTGTGTTTATGGGATATAACACCTTAAGTAAAGGCTAAGGAGTGTATGTCCTAAGTACAAAAAGGTTAGAAGTTTCAGGGGATGTGGTGTTTGAAGAAAGCAGCAGTTGGAATTGGAAAACTCAAGAAGAAGTAAAAGAGAGAGCTAAGAACTCTCCTAGTAAGGTCAGCCCATCTCAGAAAAGAGATGCGAAAATACAAAGGAGAAATGAAACTAGTCCAGAAGCTAGTAAAAATATCAAATATGAAAGGCAAGGTATAACTCCCATACCATTTTAATTTAGTTGAGGAGAAACTGAACATGGGAGTTTTTCTCAAATCCTTCACCAAGTCAGAAGACTCGATGATGTATATCATGAAACAGAAGAATAAGGAATAGATGCAAATCATGTTACCTTACATAGGAGGAGCCTCACATTTGAAGACGCTATAACCAGCAAGGAATGGAAAATTGCAATAGATGATAAAATTTACATCATTAAGAAGAATGAGACTCGGGAGCAGCAGAGCTGGTAAGGAAACCTGAAGATAAGAAAGTTATCTCTATCAAATGGACATACAAGGTGAAAACAAATGAATGTGCATGCCAACTTCAAAAGCTGAAATCAAGATTGGTGGCCAGGGAGTTTACTCAAACATATGGAGAAGATTATAGTGAGACGTTTGCTCCGGTATTCAAACACGATACAATTAGAACTCTAATAGCCTATCGAAATAAGTGGAACCTGCACCAAATGGATGTTAAGTCAACATTTTTAAATGGAGAAATCACAGAAGAGGTTAATGTTGAACAACCACAAGAGGTTAATATATAGGGTGCAAAGAACAGGGCTTACAAGTTAAAGATGAAAGAGAAGGGACTGTGATGCAACAATGTACACACAAGAATGTGAAGGTGAAATTATGATCATCAGTCTATATGTTGATGATCTTATCATTACAGGGAGCAATGAGAAAATGATCAAACAGTTCAAAGAGAATCTCAAGAAAACTTTTGAAATGACTAACCTGGGAAAACTCAAGTACTTTCTTGGGTTTGAGATTACTTACACCAAAGAAGGAGTGTTTTTAAGCCAAAGGAAGTATGCTCAACAATTGTTGGAAAAATTTGGAATGAGTAGCTGTAACCATGTGAGTACACCTCAGGGAAAAGATCAAGACGAAAGTGAGCTCCTCACAAATCCAAGACTGTATCAAAACATGATTAGGGGATTTTTGTATCTTGCAGCAACTCGGCCTGACCTTGCTTGTGCTGCATCTTACCTGTCCAGAAGCCTATCTCGACCTACTGGCAATCTGCAGAGAGGATATGATAAGTACTACATGTATGTGCTTCCCTTTGGGTAGTGATGTGTTCACATGGAAAACACAAAAACAAGACACCATTGCACAACCTACAGCGGAACCAAAGTATATGGCGTTGAGCTCAGCCACTAATCATACATTATGGTTGAAGCGATTGCTGGGAGAAATGAGAGTCAACACCACCAAGAGTGTTCTAGTCTATTGCGACATAACACATATGCAATTGCGATTGGTAGGAATCCGGTTAAACACCGGAGGACAAAGCATATCCAAATATGTTATCATGTTGTTACTTCTTAAAAGTGTTAATATTATTAATATTTTAAACTTTGCATAAAGTTTAAATATTACTAATATTTGAAACATTTTTTAGGTTTAAGTATTATTAATATTTTAACCTCTTATAAAGTTTAAATATTTATAATATTTGAAAAACTTTTTAAGTTTAAATATTTATAATAATTGTAACCTTTTAAAGATTTATATATATTCGATAAAACTACTAGTTCAACTAAAGAACTGAATTATTCTGAACAAAACTTTTAAATTTGGACGCCTGATAATGTCACATCTCATGTTCATTCGAATCTGAGATCATGTTGGTCGTTATAGGGCCAATTGGTAACGACTGTTACTTCTAGCTATTGAGACTTTCGCTGTAAGGACTTTTGATGTAAGGACTTTGACTGTATAAGTTTTATAACCGATTGGTAAAAAATATGTCTATAGAAATAACGATTTTAAATAACTATTAAATACGTGGAAAATTGATCTTAAAAGAACAGAAAAAAAAATTCAATTGTAAGTCAACTGAACTTGTTAAAAAATTAATTTATGAGTGAATGTTATGCGAGTTTAGGTACATATGGAGAAGGATAAAAGAGAAAAACTATATGTTTTTATAAAAAAAATGTGACATTAAGAAAAGGGAACTTTACTCAGATGTATAACATTTTATATGAAATTACCAGAAACATACAGATCTTTTTTTTATTACTATCATATTTCGGGTATATTTTTTATACCTAGCGTGCCCCTGTTAAACGTTACAGGAAAAAACGTAATTACAAAGAATGTCACTGCCACGTCAGCAAAGCCGCGTCGCCACGTCAGAAATCGCTGACGTGTATTAATGAACTCAGCCGTCAAGCGATATAGCGGCAGTGACGGCTGAGTTACGGTATCTTGCGGCTGATTTAAGAAAAATGCCTGAGTTATAAGCAAACGGCTGACTTACGAGTATAACCGAGCCTAGAGTTGCGGCTGACTTACTGAAATCTGTTTGAGTTATGATAAAATGGCTGACTTTCGAGCATAACCCAGCCTAAGTTACGGCTGAGTTTTCACCCGATGGTTTATTTGTCAGATTTTTGGTTGAGTTATTGCTTCGACACGGCTGACTTAACTTTCTCCGGCTGGCTGAGTTATCAAAGACGGCTTAGTTATGGGATGACGTTACAACTGATTTATGTTCGAGTGTCATAAATCAGCCGTAATGAGCTGGATTAACGGAAAACTCGGCTTTATTACAGCTGACTTAGTAGCGAAAGATTAATTACTAGAATAGCATGCAATGACGGCCGACTTATTAAACGACACGGCTGAGTTAAATATTTTTGGTTGAGTTACGACAGTAAACGGCTGAATTTGGCTGCCGTTTTTTCGGTTTTTAATTACTGTAATAGTATTCATGTTGCGACTGAGTTAAAGTTTTGTTTGATGGCTGGTTTAATTAATCTGATTTACATTTTCGTTTGGTGGCTTACTTGCCACTTCATCAATTAAAAAATGACGTGGATGCAACATTCCATGTCATCATTCCATGTCATCATTCCATGTCATCATCATCAAAGGACAAAAAAATAGGGCCAAATTTTTTCAACTCGTCTTCTTCACCTAAGTTTTTCACATCACCGGAACTTCCAATTCCTCATCGTCTTCGTCATTCTTCTTCAATTTCTTTCATCCTTCTCCCAATATGGTTGATCCGGTTCCGGTAATTGGGTATAGAAACACAAATACGTATTTAACACCGATGAAAGAGGGTGTAGAGTTG